GAATGCACTATTTGAAAGTTATTTTCCATTTTGCTTTGCTGAAAATCTATCTATCGCAAAAAGAGACCAAATCGGGTTTTTGGAAATCCTCCTCAAAATCTCCAAAACATTTTGAAATTTTTTTGGCAATACCACGAGAAAGCCCTAACCTTTTACTATATATTCCATAAAAAATTCAAGGTTCGCTACTGGTTTATATAGGCAAAAGTTTAGTGTTACTGGGTCCTCAAAACACAAAAAAACGCAAATGTCGAGATTTGGCGTTCTATAATGCCGATATTTTCAAACTTTTTTAACTCGATTTACACTAATCCCACGTATGGGTCATTCATTTGAAAAGGGTTCCAGCTTATGCGAACAAAGTCGATGTGAACGTGGTACGGACTCCATGGAACCACCCGACAGTCAACATCATCAGTGTCAGATACAGACAAAAAACAAAAAAACTTATGTAACATACACATACATTCTGATCTGTTAATCACTGCTCATTTTGCGCTATTTTTTTGATAGAAACATCAAGTGTAACAACAACAACAACAACAACGACAACAACAACACCACCAACAACAATAACAGAAACAACGACAACAACAACAACACCAACAACAATAACAGAAACAACGACAACAACAACAACACCAACGACAATAACAGAAACAACGACAACAACAACAATAACAGAAACAACGACAACAACAACGACAACAACAGAAATAGGTAAAAGAATTATTTATTGATAGACCATCATGGCTTCATATGTTAAAAAGCTGCTCGCAATGATAACGAAATTAATTTGTATTGTGTGCCAAAAAGAAATGTTATTAAATAATTTTTTGATAGATTGAGAGATACGGTCTTTTCTATTCGAAAGGGGAAACTTGCTCCTCATTCGCCATAGCGTTCTCGTAGAAGTTTGATTTTTCTTCCATTTCTTCATTTTCTGTTGTTTGCGAGCAGCATCTCATTTCCCAGGTATTGCAGGACTGATATAAAATCACATGTTTGAACCGCAAAAGGAACTGAAATTTATTCAATTAACTACGTTCTTTCTATTATATAGATATTAGCTCTAACCCTCTAATTAGTACTCTGCTCGATACATCCACATCAACGTCACGAAATCAAACAGTCACAACAGTCGCAACAACTACCAGTCCATATTTCGTTAGTAAATGTAACAGCAGTGGAATTGGTCCTAACTGCAATATATCAACGGATGCATGTTCAATGAGTCATCCTTGTCAAAATGATGCATCATGTTTTCCAAATAACACAGTACCATTATATTATACATGCAACTGTATGGTTGGATATACTGGCTACGATTGCCAAACTGATGAAAGACCGTGTAAAGAAAACACTTGTTGGTAAACGTTAGATATTTAAGAATGAATTAATTCTATATTATTTTCTCGTATATTATGTAGGAATAATGGAAGTTGTTTTCCAGAAGTGAACACAACTAATTTTTATTGTGAATGTATTGAAGGTTACAGTGGTGTTAATTGCCAACTGGTTATAGACGATTGTTCAAACATTACCTGTCAAAATAATGGTTTTTGTATATCATTAGTAAATTCATGGCGTTGTGAATGTTTAGATGCTAGTTTGTACGACGGTGCCTATTGTCAATATAAATCACAAAGTCTAGTTATTAAAGAATGGGTAGCAAAATCATTTGGATTTGTGGCTATTGGAGCTATCATTACCGTTTGTCTATTCGTAATCACTATGGATGTATTAAGATATTTTTTCAAAATTGATCCAGTATATGAAAATGAGAAGAAACGAAAAGCGAAACATCAGCTGCAAACTCCAGGAAAACCGAAACCAGTACAGATACAAAGTAAGCCAATAGCATTAAGGTTCCAATACGTCCAATAAAAAAACATGAATAATAACACTCTATAGCACTTTCAAATGTTGTATAGCTTCAATAAATTGAACTTGTAAATAAAGCTGACATAATTCAAAATACTGTCAAACAGTATATAACTTCATTGTTTGTCATGGTAAAGTGCGATAGCAATTAAATTTATATCTATTTGCTCATCTATATTATCATATAGGAGGAAAACTGATATTTAATAAATATGTTTTACATTTAATCAAGTAGATATGAATATAAATATATAGGTCAAGTAGTAGTATAAGAATAATAGTGCTGACAATTAGAACCTCAAAATAGCCCAATTCTGGGAAATTCTTCAGGAAGCGAAATTGAAACAGATCTTTTTTTTGTGATCTATTCAATTTTCTAACAATTTTTCACTGCTTTTTTCCAGTATTATTTCGCTTGATGTAACTCATTGATTTTAGAGCTTCGATACTAGAACGCAGCGATAAGAGGACATCAACATTGAGATCTTCAAAATATTTTAGTTTTCGAACGATTTATGAACAAACAATTTCAAAAAGTACATTTACAAGTAGATTATTAAGAGGTAAAATGAACACTCCCCGTCCATTAGAGTCGATTGATGATTCTTGAGATCAGACCTTGCCCGAGCGGGCAAATGACAACGGATCGTCCGTTTAGATCAACAAATCGCTTGTCAAGTTTTTACAAGTTCACGAAATGGCACATTTGTTTTTACAATCTAATCAGAATTAAAAATAGTAAATGAAATATCGAACCCACAGAGAATTTTAACAGCATTCCTAAAAAAAGGTGAGTTTTTGTTTGTACTCTGTTCTGAATGTACTATTAAGTAAAATAGAAGATACTAGAAAATTGTTCGTATTGTTCGTCGCATCTTCTTCTACTCATAAAATGAAATTTTTTAAACGATGTTTTCTCACCTGAAAAACTGCTAAAAAAGTAAGTTAAGCTGCTAAAAGTAAGTTTTGTCTTACTCATTCTATAGGCATACATAGATCTCTTTGTGTTTTGAACAGATAAACATATAAGTTATATTCAGAAGTATCTGATTCGATAGAGCTGAAAATTCTGCATTTTTGGTAGGAAAATAATTCTTTTTTGTATTAAAGTTTGGTAATGTGAAAGAAGAAATTAGAATTTTGTTGATGCAATTGTTGAAATCGAACTTCTCGTATTTTCTTTAACATTCTGTTAACTCTGGTTATATTGTAAAAACAAATATGCCATTTTAAAGAGAATGTCGTTCTCTATCTTTTAAACTTAAAATGAACCTTTTTAAACTGATGTAAATGTGAAAAAACTGAATACAAAAGTGAACAATTTTTTATGGGCCATGTAAAAATAAACGCAAACAATAAAATGTAAAAATATGAATGGGATAAAAACCATTCTAATCATATTTCATAAAATATAAGACTGGTATTAAATAAAAAATTCACTAAAAAAAGTCTATTGATTATTTACTTAATCGAACTGGATTGGAATAATATTTTTGACTTCATGGACGAGTACATATGGAACTTTAGTAGTTATAACGTTGCGAGATGACCGAAACATAGATTCATTGTATTTATTACAAAAAGCAAATATTTAGCATGGAACGAAGTTCTTGAGATATAGATTTTGAAGACATTATCAATTGAATGAGTAACTAATACCTAATCGCTTTTTTCCAATGGCAAATCGATGCCTCCGTCTGCCATATTTCTCTATATATATCTTCTGATGTACGTCGAAAAAGAACGTATACAGCATATTGTTTATTTATATCAAAACTTAAACATAATACATAATAAAGTTTTTATAATAGTAGACATTTCATTTTTGGTTTTTGTTGTTGTAGAGGAGGTGGCATTGGTGGTCCTATCACACATCGAATAGTTTCATCAAATAAAACTTTAATATTTTTTCCTAATCGAGCTGAACATTCAATATATTTCACTGCCTGTATATTTTCAGCCATAGATAAGCCTTGTGTATAGGTAATAGGTGATAACTGATGTACCTGCAATATAAGTCATATATTTATTGATGAAGATAAATATTTACAATAAAGCAAAAAGCGATTGTCACATTAGAGACGACTATGAAGATTCGTTTAACGAAAACAGAATAAAAAAAAGAGCATGCACATAAACCTATTTCCAAATATAATTAGTTTTTTTTTTTTTTATAGAAGATATTTAAGTAGATGCGAAGCGCCGATTAAAATGAGAAATAAACACATGCGTCAAGCAATAGTCTCGATAATTAGCATAAGAAAGACAATAAAGAAAAAAACGCGTTAGCAGCGGATTAAACAAATGAAAAAAAAAAAAGAAAAAAAAAAAGAGAAAATATAGAGATTCTAAAGTAGTGTACATGGTTTTTTTTTTGGTTTTGGTTTTGGACATAGATGTGCTCGAATAGCTTCATCGAATACAGTTTTAAGTCCTTTTTGAGTTAATGCTGAACATTCTAAATATTTAATTGCACCCACTTCTTTACGCATCGATTCACCTTGAATACTTGTTATTGGATTTAATTTTTTCTCCTAGAAACAGACAAGCAGAGAGCGAAAAATAAAAATGTTAATGAAACATATCTATTCTTAATTTAAAATAAAAAATACACACTGTCAGATGATCGACAATGTTACACAAGTACGAACTCTAACATCCATTTATTTCACTTTCTTTAATAAAAAAAATCCTTACATTTTCTAATCAGACATAAATCTACTATAATTTATGAGAAAAAATACCACTAACTCTGTCTATCTCGTTCTTTTTCTCTTTTTTTCACAGAAAAATTATTGATAAGCAGCGAGCGCATAGTGAAAAATCAATTAACAAAGCATTGTTAGCAAAAACAAATAGTGCCGAACTAAATTAAAGAAACACATCGACTGTATGATACTGTGTAGTGTGTTACTACTATTTACAATCAGCAAGAAAAACCAACAATATTTTGTTATAATATTTCAGAGACCTGATTCTAGAAGAAATTTGTATAAATAACAGAAATTAGAATATTTTTTAAAATAAAATTATTAGAAAGATATGAGAGTGTATCACATATTATTAAAATACTTTTGAATTTTTTTTTCAAGAATAAAAAAATAATTTAGAATTAGTTTTAGCGCTGCTGATATTGATAAACACTTTGTCACTTCTGTTCATAAACATAAAATGTTCAGTTTTAAATTTACTCCAGCGTCAATTTTTGTCAATGTATTTCTCTTTGTGAAACATATGTGTAAAGTACTTACTTTCAATTTTTCAATGGCTACTTTATCGTCTCTTAAATCGAGTTTTGTGCCCACCAATACTATGGGAGTATTCGGACAATGATGACTGATCTATGAATAAAGAAAAGAACAAAAATAATAAGAACAAGTACATGGTAGACATGTATATTAAACTTACTTCTGGATACCACTAAAACAGAGAAAAAAAATATTAATTATTAAACAATTTCAGTAAAAAAGAATCAATTGTACAAATTTTCTCCATTTTGGTAGATAAACTTGTGTAACAAAAATTTCATCTGTTCAATGTTAACTCTTCTCGTTACTTTATAAATATTAACTTTTTTTTTTCAAAAATTCAATCCTCCGCTTTTCATCTGTCGAGAAAAAGCGCTTTCGAGTTTTATCTCCAATCAGTTTAGATATACAAATCTCCATGTCTATCAATAAGATGAGAAAAGCAGTAGCACATTGTACCAAGCTGATCATCTACTTCTATTTCATCTTCTTTTCATTCACGAGTACATCTCACCTGTCTTACAACGTTTCTTAGTCCTATTAAAACTTTCTATGTTTTGACGGAGGTTAACATCAGTCAGTGGAATAACAGCAGAATGAAAAAACAGTACAATTGTACTAAAAAATACATCATCATTTTTGCTAGCAGACAAACCTCGTTTATTCGACAACTTCTCAGTTTCTGAATAGTTATGAAATTTGTGTAATTATAATTTGAAGACTCAACTTACTTTTGCTCGTACGTTTTCAAATGATGCTGGACTAACTAATGAAAAACAAATTAAAAATACATCCTAAACAAATAAACAAACAAATGATATTAGATAGAAAAAATTAGAAAGAAGATCATACAGTTTGTGGATAAGACAATGGACGTAATCGATCATAATCTTCTTGACCAGCCTAAAGAAAGAAAATACAATATGAAAAAAATTTTTACTTTTCGAAGAACTTCTCTAAAAAATGCAGATTTATTTCCTTATTTTCTTCTATCTTGAACAGGAATAGTCAATATAACATGGCATATTCACGCTTATAAGTTCTACTAAATTACCAAGGAGAGAACTCCTGTTTTACACTTCTCTGACTAATACTCGACTTCTATTAATAGGAGTCATCATTTTATAAAAAATTGTACGCGTTGCTCTAATCTTGATAGTATGTATGGTTTTAATTATCAACATATTGATAATTAAGTGTAACTTACCGTGTCCCATAATCCTAAATTGATTGGTTTTCCATCTACCATTACATTTGCTGAGTAATTGTCAAAGACAGTTGGAATATATTCACCTAAATACACAAAAAATAAGAATTAACTAATAGTTTTTATCAAGTTTAATCGAACAAAAACAGAAAATTCATGTTTATCATCACAACAAAGTAAATCAACAAGATTATTTTTTAACAGAAAGGATGCTTTTTCAGCAATGAGTTACTCTGTGTTTCTCTTACCTGGAAATGTATTTGTTGTATAAGATATCAGTAAACATGTTTTTCCTACAGCTCTAGAAACAAATCCATAGATAAAGACACAGAAAGTTTGTAGTTACAGATCTTTAATAAAATCATCAGATGAAGTAAGAGAATAATCATCATACCCATCGCCAACAACGACACATTTGAGTGCTTGCATATTGATCTTTTTTGTGCAACTACTTTAATTCGAACATTATTTGATTCATACACACAATTGACGATATCAGGAAAGGGGAAATAAACGATCTGAAAACAAATATATGAATATATTTTTTATATTTCATACAAGTTCACGGCGCTGTGAAGGTGATGCGTAAAGAACAGAAAAGAAGAAAAAAAAAACAGAGATGACAAATATTATTCACGAAATGACGATGGTTGGTGACAAAGGGTAGAATCATCAGCAAGTAATAAATGCATAACAGAAAGAAAAGAAAAAAACTTCTTTTTCTCGTACTCGATTATGTTCAATAAATAGATGATACTAGATGTTTCAGGCAATGTGATTTTACATTTGGTTAACACCTACACATTCAAAAATAAGAGTTATTCTTTCACAATAGTTGCAAATGATAGACGATATTTTTTGTTCAATCGAGAACATGGTTTGAAAGTACTATGCTTTCGTATAATATCGTATTAATCAGTGTTACTCATTAGTTGGATATAAAACGTTTAGAATTTCAATTATAGTTTTCTTTCTGTTGAATTCACTCATTGTGATACAATTTATTGCACAAATATGAAAAAAAAATACAAAAACTATAAATATTTCCTTACAAAATGTCTTTCACATTATCATAAAGAGTCAGCTGTCTTTTACTTCATACTCTGCATAGATAACGGACATATTTACCTGTAACCATACCGTAATATTTCACATTTCGGTTTAACGGCAAAAAGTATCAGCTTTTATCTCTCAGAACACCTCCGATCAATGATTCTACCTTTTTTAAAAAAAGAAAAAATCACAGTGAATGATCAGAGGATCATGGTTATAGTAACGCTATTTCGTCAAAAAGAAACAAACACAATACTATCATTCAAACGGGAAAATTAGCTAAATATATCTATGATATACTGAGAGAATCACTACAGACATTGGACAGCAGAAAAAGAAACAACTACATCACTTTCTTTTACATCTAGAAATAAATGTTAAAAGGTTTTTGAGAATCTCGCTGACGTACATTCGGTAGTAATAGTATCACGGACAACGTCATTATAGAAGCGCAGAAGAGAGATGTGTGTAAAGAATCAAAAAGGTTCACACAAATTTTCCAATTAAGGAAAGGAAAACAGGTTGTGATCAGTGCAGTCAAATTTGTTAAACGTATCAGTGAAATTTAAACATTTGTAACCACTCTTTTCAATCAATCTATACATTTTGAAGGCGACACATAGAAAATCACTTTTCTCTTACTCTAATCAAGATTCCCATAAGAGATACCGTGACTCCAGTAAAAGTTCCACTAAATTTTGTCGAGAGACAAAGTGTATATGAATCACTAATTTTTTAAGAAATTTTCAAAGTTTTTGTCGTATTAGGTATTTGAGTGATTCACTAACGAAAGTTCAACTCATGATACCCTCGATCATCACTTGAACAAAGCCATGAAACGTTCCAAATGCCAACCTAAATTTTCAAAAAGACCAAAAAAAGTGTTGCAAACGCGAAAAAATTATCCATGATTCTGACACTGAATTGTGCAGGATTTTTTTCTGCGATTTTCGACTGTAAAGACTGGTATTTCTTGTTTGTTTATTCATTTATCTGTCGTTCTTCCTCTTCCAGAGTTCATATCTTGTTTTTATCTGTTTATTTGTTCGGTGATGATCACAGCATTAAAAGTCGCTGATCTTTAGCGATTTCTCATTTTCTGTGAATAAATCAATAGTATTATTAGAATTCAAGCTATAACGAACGATTTACCAGAAAACAAATAACTTGAACAGAATCACACGGTGACTATTCATACATAGAGAAGCGAAATCCATAAACAATAATACTGAGCATGGGGATAGAAAAAGAAATCCTTTACTTCTTATTGGTCCGTGGACAAATCAAATCGACTGCATCGCCTTCTCAATTTTGTTCTCCGACACGCGATTCTACGGTCAAAGTAACATACAATACAAGGCTATCGTGACATTTCATTGTACCTTATGCTAGTCGGAAAAATGTAGAATGTTTATCTTAGACTCTGGTCAAACTTTTCCAGTATCTAGCTAAAGTTATATCCCACTTTCGAGCCTTAATTGTTTTCCTGGAATATCAGGCGGTCAGAATAATCAGAACAATATTTTTTGATTTTTTCCTTGAGTTTAGTCTACGGCCTTACATAATGGTTGTCCATGTGTTATGTCTATGTCTGTGTTTCTTGCGCAAAATATGGAAAAATGGCTGTTAGTTATTCCATGGAAAAGCCAATCATAAGGGAGAAGTACAGAAAATTTCTTTTTAACTGCGAGACAGAAAATATTCAAAGAGATGTCCTGAAATATCTTCTGATGCAGAGAGACAAAAAACTAAATAAATCTTTTCTGTAGCTCCGAGAAAAATGTCGCCAGGAAGCAGTCAGTTATGATAACACAAAAAAAGTCGTCTACAGATAATAAAACTTACAGAATATAGATAATATATCGTATCGAATCCATATGACGATTATTGAATATTATTAAATTTTTAATCTACGAGCCTAAAGATGTAACGTGTCTCAATTAATACTACTAATATGATGCCTGACTGGTGTTGGTCGCTATATTTTCAGTATATGGATAGGTATGTTTTTATGAAAAGACCATTTTAAGTATACTGCTTATTTCTTTTTTTATGTCTGTCATTTTCCCTTTTTCAGCTCAGTACATGGTGTATTAAAACTATACAGCAAGAACATGTATTCATTCTTGTAACTGGTAATAAAACTAAAAATTTATTTAAATGCTTCCTATTGATTTCCTGCTTCCGATTATTTTCATAAATGATACTGACCGAAACTATTGTATTTATAAAATTTTATTTTGTTTGTCTTCAACCATATATATACCTCTTATTCTCTCAAAAATTCATAACAAAAGCAACAAACAATATAGATAAAAAATCGATTTTTTGTAAAAAACTGTACAGAAGATATGTATATATGTGCGCATTTACTATATCTGACATGTAACGAATAAATAGAATATTGATGGTGAGTATTTAAACATATTGGCTACCACTGTTTGGATATGCAGGGGTGAGAGGAAATAATTCAAAATACCTTCCAGATTTTTCAACTGAGCGTCTAAAATTTTGCAGTTTTTTTCAAAAAAATTCAGGAGGTCAAAAACCAGTTTCATTCGTGACATTGAGCAATTCTTTTGTAAACGTGTTCATGGTACTCTACTTTTATGTTCTTACATGATATCTTAAGAGAGTCCTGTGTTTTATGATCTCATTAGATAATGTGTTCAAAGTTATCCACAAACCCACGTTTTTAAACGTTACCCTAGTGAAAGTAGTTGTATCCAAGATCTACAGTTAAAAAATGTCACAAGCTCTTGGAAAAAACACCAAGAAGTCAAGATCTTGGGAACAGAAATTTCAAGATCCTAAGTGAACCCACTCGAGATGTTGCAAGAGCTTTAGTGGCAAATTTTCTTTACATTTTGTTTTTATTTATGACAGTCGTAGCTATTGGATTACAGAGTCATAGATTCTTCCACTGTTTGGATATGCAGGGGTGAGAGGAAATAATTCAAAATACCTTCCAGATTTTTCAACTGAGCGTCTAAAATTTTGCAGTTTTTTTCAAAAAAATTCAGGAGGTCAAAAACCAGTTTCATTCGNTTAAACGTTACCCTAGTGAAAGTAGTTGTATCCAAGATCTACAGTTAAAAAATGTCACAAGCTCTTGGAAAAAACACCAAGAAGTCAAGATCTTGGGAACAGAAATTTCAAGATCCTAAGTGAACCCACTCGAGATGTTGCAAGAGCTTTAGTGGCAAATTTTCTTTACATTTTGTTTTTATTTATGACAGTCGTAGCTATTGGATTACAGAGTCATAGATTCTTCCTTAAACAACTATAGTCAAGAAGGAAAAATGTCGAAGTTATTCTAAATGTGAAAATATTCGCAATTATATTTACACAAGAGTGTAAAACAAAACAATGATTCAAGAATTTTCAAGATTTTGGTACAAGAAGTCAAGAAATTACAAGGCGTTTAAGAATTTGACATCTTAAAATTTCTTGAATTCTTATATTTTCTTACCAAGATCTTACTGAAAAAATTCAAGAAGTCAAAATCTTGGTTACAAGAAGTTTCACTAGGGTAGAGCCTAAAAATGACCAAGTTACCAGAGACGAGCACAGGACAACTTTTTCTGTCCTGTCCTGCAGTCGACCTCCATCCTGTCGAGCGGCACGACAGGATGAAAAATGATTTACCGTCCTGTCCTGCCGGATAGGACAGGACAGGACAGGACATCAAGCAGGACAAACATGGTAACTTCTTTAATTTTCGATTAAGCGAAGCATATATTAACTGGCTAGTCATCTTATAACCAATTTATTTCATAATTTTTTTCAAATAGCACAACTATATTCTTGAATAATGGTTAACTGAATAAATACGAAAACAAAGCACGATAAGTTATTATTTCAATAATACACGTATCATAAAAAAAAAATGTATATAAAACAAGATGCGAAAATAAAGTGTTTTGATCATCATCGTTGTTATATTCACACTCATAATAAACATCAAGTATAATCAATGATGATAAACATTATGCAAAAAAATTGTATATACTTCTTTCTTTCTGTTGACACTTGTGTAATAATCTTTATTGTCTTGATGGCAAGAGAACTTGTTGAAATATCACAATAAAATAAATTTGATTAAAGTATTAATCATGTTCTGTGCAGTTTTGTACTTTCTCTACAATTTAATTCGATTTTCAACTGCTCTCTCTCCAAGTTTTATTATTATGAAATGGTTTAGACTATGCAAAAATTCTCCGGTAACAAATGTTGAATCTATTAATTTTGATTTAAAACCAAATAATGTAATACTTCGAATGTTAAAAGTAATTCAATTACGATCGGATGAAATTCAAAAGTAAATATCGTTCATAGGTTATAAGTGATTCTTATTTCTTCTTCTTTTTCTTTACAGTGTATCTGCTGCAAATGGAGCACGAAATTTTGTGACGCAACCACCAATATCTTATACCGTGGAAGAGGGTGACACATTGCACAATATTGCTATTTCAAATAATTTTACATTGGATGAAATGAAAGTAGCAAATCCTAAAATTGAAAATTATAATTTCCTACGTATAGGACAAAAAATAAAACTTCCAGGTATGGAACGATGTCTTTAATTATTAACTACTTTTTAATGAAAAAAATTATCCTGTAATTTATAAAAGATTTTATTTCACTCTTCTTTAAAGAGTACGTCTTTTCAACGATAAAAGTTGAGCAACAAGAAAACGTTCTTTGACTTCAAGTCATTGTGCAAAACTTAAAAATAAAACATCTACACAAAATTATTTTCTAATTACACGGATAGATAATTTATAGATAATTTATTCTACACATCTTTAGTTTCTCTAAAAGTAGGATAGAAATTTCTCCGATACTTTGGCTAGTTTTTAAGCCTCTCTCCTATCAAATTAAAATCTTTTCATGTCTAATTGTTTATATTTATATTCGCGATAAAAGGCTAATAAAGCCGAAATGACTTGACGTGTTGACATGAATCATATACCAAATTAAAGCTGATGGCATTTCACACAATGCTGTATGAAATATCAGTTAGGAATTAGTTAGTCGGTTATCAGTTCCCTTCAAACGTCCTCAACCCCTCACAGAAAAGAAACGAGAGATCAGTTGTCGTGCGAAAAGATTGGAAAGTCGACTGAGTAGAACGGGAAACAGACAAAATTAGAAGATCCAGAAATTCATAACAGTTTGACTATTTTTCAAGCAGAATGTACATTGCTATATCAGTTGGTTCATTATCGTGCCATGTATTCTACTATAGTATAGCTTGAATCATATGCAGCACCATAGTACATGTTCACTTTGAGGTGAATCACGTGACGATTAAGGATAATCCCCTCTTCTTTTTTGAAAAAATTTCAGTTTTTTAGCTCAGCATAACCGAATGTAGAGGAAAGCGTGGGCTACAAAATGAGACCACTTCCACGACCTTTCTTCAAAAAGTTATGCATTTTTAAAGTTTATTATTCAAGGCCTAAAAAACTTCAATTTTTTAATTTTATAAGCTTTTCTGTACATTCAAAATGCTTTTTACACATAGTCTGATAGAAGAAAGTGTTTTCTTCACAATGAGAGGTTTTCCAGAATTTTCCGATGAGTTTTCGTGAAGATATAAGCATCGTGGCACATGCCCTGACAAAAGGAGCTATTTTTATATTATATAGCGCAGAGGTATAATTTTGGAAGTTTATTTTAGACCTTTCTTTACCGGGTTATAGGGTTTCTAAAATTTAAAACTTGATTTTTGAAAGTTTTCGGTATTTTTCCTATAACTCGGTAAAGAAAGGTCTAAAATAAACTTCCAAAATTATACCTCTGCTCTATAACCTTGAGTACCTCTGGTAAAATTGTTAACTCGATCGGGTGAAATTTAAGGGGAGTCGTAATGTAGTCCAGTGAAAAACAGAGTTTTCTGGAAAACTGGTGAACGACAATAGTTAAAAACATAAAACGAAAACATGCTCCATTGAGTTTCTAATCAGTTCTGAATGTATGAAGCCATAGTGCGTTTTAGTTTTTATTTCATAGCATTTTCTACGGAAAGCCCAAAATGAGGGGAGGGGAACCCTTAATTATCTCACAAGGAAAACGATAGAGTTCTAAAAAAATTTCATTATTTTGTGCAAAATTTCTCATTAATAAAATGCAGTGGAGAGCTCGGGTGGTCTTTAGTTGACGAAAACACATGTGCCTAGAGGCTAATAGAGCCGGATTTTTCGTATTTTACTTTACATATCAGTGGTGAGCGTCAAAAGTCTCATTAACTTGACGAGCTCTCTGCGATGTTCTGTTATTGAGAAAGTCTTCTGATGCATGTCTTGCAGCTCACAGCAAAACTGTCATAATTCTTGATTAGAATATCGTTCAGAGCTGAGAAATATCTCATTTTATTGAGAAATATTTGCTCTATTCTCTAATATTACCGAAAGTATTTTTGAGTTGTTCTTTATCGAGAAGTAAGTCAGCTGAAAGTCAGCTTTTCTAGGTTTTTAGAAAAGTTTTCTAAAAAACCTTTTGGCTTAGAAACCGTTACGTCTGAAAATCACGTCTGCAGCTCGTCATCATCTTGTTTATTTGCTAAAGACCATTTATTAGCTAGTGGAGAAGAACGCCTTAGATTTGATCCACCTTGATATGGTGAAGGCGATTTTTAACATTCTTAGATGTTTGGGCAGCATTGAGAGTCGTTATTTGAGAACACGCATTAGAAGATGACTTACGAATGGAAATAGCAACAAGAGTATTGTCGACAGATGCATCATTTAATAACTGGTCGAAGCCTCCGATACTTTTAGAAGCACCGTATTCAATTAAGCACTTTTTTGTTTCCTATCTAAACATACAGGTTTGTGGAGTAAACTTTTCTGATCAAAATAAGACCTCGCGCAACTCTGTACGACCTTGGATCGAAAAGTTGCAAGCATTTTCCTAGAAGTTCTAAAATTGAGTATTTCACACAGCGTTTAATACAGCGTTTTCTCTATATAAGAGTTACACCTGACGTATTTCCCAAGATTTTTTATAGCGATTTGTCGTAGAAAGTTTATTCTTTTTTTGCTTAAAAGAAGAAAAGAAACTACATGGACTGACGAGCGCCGATTTTTGAATTAGGTCTTAGTTTTTTATCAAATTATGGATTTTTAGAGAGCCCAGATTTTAGAAAATCCGGAAGGCTTTTTCGGGTTTAGGAGGTTGTTGGTTGCCTGGAAAACCAATAAAGGCTTAATTGAAAAATCGTCGTCTGTCAGCTCATGTAGTTACGCGTCCAGCTTAAAACAAAACAAACCCGAACTCTCCAGCTTGAAGTATACTAAAAAATCTTGAGAAACACTTCAGAGTCCTACTCATTTTAGTTGAGTTTAGGTACTACTCATTAAAAAAGTTTTAATGAGTAGTACCACAGAGATTGTTGGGCAATAACTTATTAAAAGTTAATAAGTATAAGTATAATAGTTAAAACATTATTTTCAATACAACAATGACTCCCAAATAGAGAACTCAAATTCAGTTCTACAGCTCTCATGAACTCAAAATTTATCCTTCAGTTTTTTAAAAAATGATTTCTTTTGTTCTTTGAAAAATTGAAAAACAAATTTTGAGGTCTTGAAAGCTGAAGAACTGAATTTGAGTTCTCTATTTGGGACAAATGAAGAACAAAATTCCCATTGATTTTTCAGTTCTTTGAAAAACTGCAGAATACATTTTTTTAAGAGTGTAGAAAAAACTGCCAAACCCTACTGAAAATCTCTGCTAGATGGTATTACACCTAATTCTCTATTTAAGATTAGTGAGAGACGTTCGCTTACTTCTAATACTTTTTGAAATTTCATAATATTTGGATTATTTTAATATGAATAATACACAACGAGTATATATATAAAAGTACATGTAGAACGAAAGAAGACATTTGGAAAATTCAAAATATCCAACAAGAACAAAAGAAGAGCTTCTTTTGTTCTTGTTGGATATTTTGAATTTTCCAAATGTCTTCTTTCGTTCTACATGTATTTTTATATACATACCGCTTCTTTTCTTGTTGTCATTCACTCTTGAAAATGATCTAAGTTCTGATCGAAAGATCGAGTGTCTAACCCTATGCCAATGTTTTAAAATTTTTTCAATGACGCATTCTTACTCAGAATTAAATGCTCTCTACCCATTCAGAGATTATATTGTATTATTACATTTATTGATAAGGAACAGAGAAGTAGATTACAACATATTTGAAAATAGTTCCTTTTATGTTTCTCTGTATTACAAAATATTTCTGGACAAAGAAAATGATAAAGAATAAAGTTTATGAATATATATTTAAATAGCACTCATACTATAATTCAATCATATGAATCATTCGTATCCACTTAGCGTTGTTACATTTTCAAAAACAACATGTTGAGGACGAAATAAGCATGTATTTAATCTTATTCTTTATGTCAACAAACTCGTTCGTCAATGTCATCAAAATGAAGTCATTTTAATGTATTGCACCGAATACAGAGCCGGAAACGTATTAGGAAAATGTGATTCTATTGAATTCAATTCGGAAGAACATTTACAAAAGCTGCATCAGCTCGATTCAACTTAATTTGATCAAAATGAAAGTTTTATTCTCTTTGTTGTCTGAAACGCCTACTACGAACATACTCTCTCAAGGTAGAACACGTCAGCAAACTTACCATTCCTGTGACTAAAACTTTCAACCATAAATTAAATCAAAACAAAGAAAAGAATATTTACAAGAAATATCTTGTTCATTAGATTAGTCTTCCCATTTAGTATTTTTGATCGAACGTAAAGTAATATGTAAAATATATTGCTGACTGTTGGTGGATCTAACCTTAAGCCACGTTAGTTAACAATCTGGTCAGCTGCGCTAACTTTCCTTCAACAGCACAAGGAATCAAATATACAACTGACATTATTTGCAAAACGATAGTGTTTTGTTTAGTGTGAATATCACGTTCTCTATCACTATCCGTATTGTTTATCTTTTACGCGGCTTGTCCACATAACGGTACACTTCGCTGATCGAGCTTTCTGAAAAATTTTTTTCGATATCGAAAGTTTTGAACACATGATTAGATTCAGTTTTTTATTCTAAGAACGCGTTTGAAAGTCATTTTTCAGAAACCGGATTTTTAGTGTTTTAACCAAAAATATTTTTTAAAACAAATTTCTAAAAGTATGCTTTTGTGGAGAATTTGGCGTATTTGTTTTTAAGTTTACTTGCTATGTACAATTTGTACATAGTTGTACGGTTTCCGACTTACTGTCTAGTTTTTGAGCTCTTATTTTGATACAGCAACTTGATTTTTGCGCAGATCGGTCAAATATACAAAGAACACGGTAACTTGTGAAAATTAAAACTTTACCATCGTGTTAAGTGTCTCATATATGCTTAACAAAAAAGTACGTAACGCCGTGACGAAAAACGTAACGTTGTGACGCTTATATTTTGTGTTTTTCAGGCAAATCTAATAACCCAGGTAGAACATTTTGAGCTGTTCTACAGGATCGGCTCAAGAAATACTCCGTTTGGAGAACTATTTTCGCAGCAAATCAGGATTTTCGTAGCAGCACTCTTAAAAAAGGGTCTTTTTTCGTAACTCCGTGACGCAACACTAAAATCCTTCTGAAAGCCCAATGCAACATCCCAAAAACTTCGTTTTCACAGCATAAGTAGAGCATGATGAACTGCGTCGATTGACGTTTGAACAAACTTTCTAGCTACTTTAGTTTCCAAGATAACCGAAGTTTAATGCGTCAAAAACGTAACGCCGCGACGTTTGGACAAACCGTACGATGTCTTCAACTTCAAATTTGTGCCGTAACCTTGTTTAACTCCAGACTAAATGGCATTAGGAAACACGAGCATTTCTGCGGGATAAAAGACTAATATGAGCCATCCTCAGACATGATAGCGTTCTCTCTATTAGAGAGCGAGAAATGATATACAGAAACGTTAATGAGCTCATAAATCCATTTGATTTTAAAACTTACCATATCGTTATCTATTTTAGATCATTTTACCTGCGAAATGTCTAGTCAAGCACAACAAACTGATTCTGCGTATCTTGTTGCCTACGGGTGTGCAAAGGCTAATCGCGATTTTCAAGAAGTTTACCAAGGTAATAAAAAATTCTCAAGTGTTGCTTATTCAAGTACTGATTTCAAAAAATGTGTACATCCTTGTATTTGTATAAAATGTAAGATGCTATGATAATTCAAAGTTCGAGCACTTCGCTTTTCTTCGCCTTTTAACGGTAGTCACAAAGTAAATAAAAGTACACTGACTGTAAGTAGCTTGAGTTGAAGGACGGTTTAGGAAATGTAAGTTAATTCTTCGACATGTGACAAAATGAAACACATATAAAGTAGAGGAGAAAAAACTGCCTTTAAATGTTGTACGATTTAAATGTGATCATAGAAGGACACAAACGTTTTTTAAAAGGTTAATAAAGCAGTATATGTACACATGTCAGATTTTTTTCTCCCTTTTTACATGATTTATGCGATACGAGAATGTTATCGTCAAAAGTAAAACATTCTATCACTTTCATAAATGTTCTTCGGAGTCAAATTTGATTGTTCTTGTTCTTGTAATATTACTTCGTCTATCTTTTCGTCTTCATCATTTGTTGTGGTTAATAGTGATTGTATGTATTATTTCCTTTCATGTCGACGTTTATTTTGAGTCCTTTGCGACCTTTTGGTATAATTGTTGATGCATCTCAAAAAACAAGATCAAACACTCATCTAAAGTAAACAGTTTCTATTGATTTTAAGCAAGAATGTATTTAAGACCTTAATCTTTTTTTGGGGGAAGAGGTACCAAGACAATCAATTCTTTCGTTGACAGAAGTTACCTGCCAATATCAACTGCCTATATCTGTCTTGGTTAATTCAAAAGTCGAACTGTGACATTTTTTACCTTTTGTTGCAGTTAAAGATATCCCCAAAAACGTTTAGTTTCCGCCGCAAGAAGAATTAAGTAGAGTGTACGGCCCAACAAATTTAAGACGATATTGAAGATATTTTTCAGAAGCAACTTTAGCGAAAAAGGCAAATATCATAGCAAATCTTAATCTTTTTCCAAGTAGGCGGCAGACTTTTTGAACCCCTCCCGAGATTCGTCCGACGGCTAGTTTTTAACCATTGCTGAAGTTACCCACTACTGGCAACTGTTAATGGCAAAAACCTTCTGGCAGCGCGATTCTCTTCTATACTACATTCAAAATGATAGCATTAACTAACGGTTTTTGTTCGAACTCTACTGGATGAATAATTGCACGAATCATAAATCAGCAAACAAGGCTCTGCAATGAATACAGTTTTTTAAATAATGAAAAGAAAGTTTGGTTGCACTAGGATTCTTCAAGTTTCATTCTCTTAATTAAACTGTTTTTGGTTGCAAAATCTTTGATCAATAGTTTCTAAGTGAATCGTTTTCGTTATCTCACGCAATTTTATGCCGTAATCCAAAAAATTATCGTAAAACACTGTAATGACGGCGTAATTATTGGATAAATCATAAGAACGGCGTAACATTAAAAAAATCGAGGACATGGGGACTCTTACATAGTAGTAGCTGATAGTCTAAGTATGAGAATCAGTTAATTATATGTGAACGTTTTGTCGCTTAGGTTGGTAAATTAAATACGCTTTACTTTCTTCGGTTTTAGAATAAATCATGTTTAGCTTCACCGAAAGAACCAATGGTAAATTTTCTGTTTACTCTTGTCGGTTACAGTATCGTTTTTATCTTTTGCTCTGTTCTTAGATCGAAAATAATATTAATCTGATATCTTTGAGTGGTGTTACGCCTAGACGATATTTGTTAAATGTTGAAAAAGTTTTGTTAACTCCTGAACAGCTCGGGAATGGCTTTTTACCCGATTTTCGAGGAAAACGTGAGGGAAGAGTACCGATTACACAAGAAGATGTTGATAAGTTAACAGGTTAGACGGCGCGATTATTTACAGACTTCGAATTTCTTTTTTTATAACATCTGTCATTATTTTTAGAAGCTGTTCGATGTAAATTCTCATTCAAAACAGAAGACATGCAATCCTTGTGGCGAGATGTGCTACGCGGAGCATTGATACAAAAATGCCAAAAATAAACAAAAAGTTCATACTTGCGCAGCTCCACGTAATGAGGTAAAGTCAATAGAAAACAAATGCTTTAATATTTTGTAATTTCATTATTCATTTGCACATATCATTTTCACAATTACTTCGTGTGATATCTGTCCATTCTGCACGGAAGTTTCTGTATTATTTAGCTATTCTACTAACAATCAATACAGTCTTTGAAGTCTAATCGTTTTTTGCATTTTATATTTGCAGATGAACAACAATATCGACAAAAATTGATATTTTTTAAGCAAGAAAAAGAAAAGTAGCAAAGGAAATATATTTTTCTATTCATGGAATATTTACATTTATATTTGTGTTTATACAAGAATAAATGAAATATAAAAAAGTAAAAAAAGACTAAAACTTTTATCTACATCTTTTATTT